GCTCACACCTGTAATCCTAGCACTTTGGGAGGCCAAGGTAGGTAGATCACTTGAGGTCAGGAGTTTGAGACGAGCCTGGCCAACATGGTGAAACACCGTCTCTACTAAAAATACAAAAATTAGCCAGGCATGGTGGCATGTGTCTGTAGTCCCAGTTACTTGGGAGACTGAGGCAGGTGAATTGCTTGAACCTGGAGGAGGCTGCAGTGAGCCGAGATCTGGCCACTGCACTACACTCTGGGTGACAGAGCCAGATTCCATCTCAAAAAAAAAAAAAAATTTCCCAGCACTTTGGGAGGCTGAGGCGGGTGGATCACTTGAAGCCAGGAGTTCAAGACTATCCTGGCTAACATGGTGAAACCCTGTCTCTACTAAAAATACAAAAATTAGCTGGGCATAGTGGTGTGCACCTGTAGTCCCAGCTACTCGGGAGGCTGAGGTGGGAGAATCACTTGAACCTGGAAGGCAGAGGTTGCAAGCAGGCAGAGGTTGTAGTGAGCCAAGATTGCGTCACTGCACTCCAGCCTGGGTGACAGAGTGAGGCACTATCTCAAGAAAAAAAAAAAATCAGCATCAAATAAAAAGCATCAAAGGGTTTTTCAAATACTCAACTTGGTTCAGTCCCTGTTAGTCCAGAAACACTGATAGCTCCTCTCTTGCTACATGGCCGCTTTTAAAATTAAAATATCCACCTTTCTGCTAGACTATAAGCTCCATGTGCAAGAACTATTTCTGGCTTGCTTATATCTTTCTTCAAATAATACAGTGCCAGGTACACAGTAGGTTGTTCATACATATGTGTGGTAAAAATGACACCATTAGCACAAAAGCAGCATACACACATATTACCAAGCCGTGAGTGCTAAGCCAATGCTAATATATAGCAACAGCTTCACTTATGAGACTCAGAAAGCTCTAAGTATTCTGATAGATCACTGGCAGACCTCTCTTCATTTACTCTTTCCAAAGACCATCAGCCTAACTTCATGATTTTATGAGGCTTAAAGAAGGTTCCAAACCATATATAGTCAAATATAAATAATTTCTTATGTATTTGTCTTTTCAAATGAAGATAAAAGCTGGGATGGGTGCAATGGCTAATGCCTATGATCCCAGCACTTTGGGAAGTCAGGGTGGGTGGATTTACCAAAGGTCAGGAGTTCGAGACCCAGCTGGACAACATGGGGAAATCCCATCTCTACTAAAAATACAAAAGAAAATTAGCTGGGCATGGTGACGGGCGCCTGTAATCCCAGCTACTTGGGAGGCTGAAGCAGGAGAAATTCTTTAACCCAGGAGGAGGAGGTTCCAGTGAGGAGAGATCACAACACTGAACTCCGGCCTAGGCGATGGAGTGAGACTGTCTCAAAAAAAAAAAAAAGATAAAAGCTCAAAGCACTAAGAAAAGTGGCAAGCGGAATGTACAGGGTCTAATCCAGTTGGACATCTATATGGTAATACAGTAATGCCTTATACAGCAAAATGACATGAAAAATTAGTAAACAGGAACATCCATCCCAATTTTTTTTTTTTTTTTGGACACCGAGTCTCTCTCTGTTGCCCAGGCTGGAGTGCTGTGGTGTGATCTCGCTCACCACAACCTCTGCTTCCCAGGTTCAAGTGATTCTCCTGTCTCAGCCTCCTGAGTAGCTGGGATTACAGGTGCCCGCCATTACACCTGGCTAATTTTTGTATTTTTAGTAGAGATGGGGTTTCACATTGTTGGCCAGGCTAGTCTTGAGCTCCTGGCCTCAACTGATCTGGCCACCTCAGCCTCCCAAAGTGCTGAGATTACAGGCTTTCATCATATTTTCAGACACCACATCACCAATATCTACTATATTTCTGGCTTGTCCAAGGATTTGCAGAAAATTTTAAAATCAATGAAATGATTCCTTAATCAAGTCTAATTAAAAAGATTTCTGATGTATGTCAATGCCAAATATAAACTGATGATCTCATCTATTCTCCTATAACGTGTTTTTATAAAACCAAATATGCTTATGTGTGATTGCTAAATAAGGAAATAATGTCAGTATAAAGTTATATTAGTTCAAATTAAGCAAGATAAGCTAAAATTATAATAGAATTAAAGTCATCAACTCAGTTATCACACAGGTAGATATCCTTTCAGATCTCGTCATAAGAAAAGTGTAAATAATCCCCTATACCAGCAATTTGTGCCTCAAAGTGGATCTTTCCATGATTCTACTGGGTTGCATTTCCTCCTAGTCACTACTTAATAACAGTCCTGGCTCCGAGCTTGCTACCATCTGCACTCAGAAACCACTGGCTAACACTTTCAATCCATGACTTTATTTTATTTTTATTTGTTTGAGACAGGGTCTCACTCTGTCGCCCATGGTGGAATGCAGTAGTGCAATCTTGGTTCACTGCAGCCTCGACCTCCCAGGCTCAAGTGATTTTCCCACCTCAGCCTCCCACGTAGCTGGGGACTACAGGTGTGCACCACCATGACAATTTTATTTTTAATATTCCCTAAGACACCCTCCAGCCACATTCAGCTGCCTGCCAATCCTATTCAAATTTTGTTGAGGCATCAATTATTGTTTTTGCTAGTCCTCTTGATTACAAAGTTATATAGGTTTTGTATGGTTTACTCCAATCTTATTTTTTCATAAGCCTGTTTTGTTTTTAAAAAATGTACCATTTTGCAGAACAAAGGTATTTTCAGGAATGCATATATAATCTTACTATGGTAATAGGTACATCTCATTTTTTAACAAGTGAATTTTATAGCAAGCAAAATTTTTCTTTCCACTCGTTGCAATTTCTAATCTGCCAAATGAGCTGTGGCAAGAAATTTTTTTAAGTTTGTTTTCAAAATTTTAAATATCTGATATATTATAAAGAAGGTAAGAATAAAATTATTCAGTGGTTATGTTATACTGTAAGACTTATAAAAGTATTTTACTGATGTTAAAACTTTTCTCTTGATATTATGATTCCTTTTATACAAAATGTCAGAAAAGACCAGTGCATAGAAATAGGAGGTACGCCCTAATGGGCTGTGCATAGGAATGAGGATTAATTGTAAATGGGAATTAGGGATTTCACTGGAGTAATGAAAATATTCTAAAGCTGGATTGTGGTGGTGGTTGCACAACATGAAAAACTTATGGTGTGCAAAATTAGACCTTGATAAAGTTGATTTAAAAACTTTTCCTTGGAAATATAGCCATAAATTATATATTTAGTATTGTTTTAATCAATCTTATTCAAAGTCATATTTAAAAATATTTTACAGTACAGTATTTATTTTGCTAATTTTTTTTCTTTTTTAAATACCTTAGGCAGCCCAGCTCTTTTTATCACACTAGGAATTATACATCTTGGACCCGTTTCTCCAGCAAATCCACACCTGCAAATAAATGAAAAATTGAAACAACTTATAGTATTCTTTTAAAAAAAATCACTCCACAAAACTCATAAGTTAATATTATTTATTAATGCTTGTGTGTTAACAGATAAAAACTATATCAAATTCATGATACTGAAAAAAAGCCAATGTATTATTTTAGGGGCAGCATTTACTTTGTTCTTAGTTGTTAATTTTAGCAGAATTAACAACTACATTATCTACAGCCCTGAATCTGTACTACATGACTTCATTCATATAATTAATGTGTCACTCATAATTCCATCATTCTAATATTATTAGCTTCCGTTTGCTTTCAGTGTACTTCTTAAAATTATGCATACATATTTGACAGTTATAATCACACTTCATACATAATTAACTCATACAGTAAGCTTCTACCCATATTAACATAATCTTCATTACCATCATTTTTATGGGTTTTTTTTTTTTTTGATGCAGGATCTCACTCTGTCACCCAGGCTGAAGTGTAGTAGTGCAATCACGGCTCACTGCAGTGTCAACCAGACGAGCTGAAGTGATCCTACCACTTCAGCCTACCAAGTAGCTAGGACAACAGGCGCCTAGTGCCATGCCAAGCTGGGTCTCACTATGTTGCCCGAGCTGGTCTCAAGCTCCTGGGCTCCAGTGATCCTCCTACTTCGACCTTCCAAAGGGATTTCAGGTGTGAGCCACTGTGCAAGCACAACTGGACTGTTGGACTGCTATCATACTTTGTCCTTTTTTTTTTTTTGGAGACATGGTCTCACTCTGTTATCCAGGCTGGAGTCCAGTGGCACAACCTTAGCTCAATGCAGCCTTTGCCTCCCAGGCTCAAGCAATCCTCCCACCTTGGCCTCCCAAAATGCTAGGATTTCAGGCATGACACTATGGCTGGCTAAGTTTTGCATTTTTTGTAGAGCTGGGTTTCCCCCAGATTGCCCAGGCTGGTCTTGAACTCCTGGGCTCAAGTGATCGGCCCGCCTTAGCTTTCCAAAGTGCTGGGAATACAGTATCATTTTTAAAACTGCATATTTCATTATTTTTAAAAGCTACACTTTTTTCTTGAGTATTTAGCTATTTCCATTTTTTGTTTCATGTTAGTAAAACATCCCATCTTCCTGTCCTGTCTAGTTTTTGGCACTGCTCTCCTCGCATTGCCAAATAATTCTCTCCATCTCCTACTATTCCTATCGCCATGTGTACTTGCACCAGTGTTGCTCAAACATCTCAGAATGCAACCCATTAAGCTTCAATTCCTTTCTTTTACTTCATATATTTATCTTATCATCCTCCTGCTCTTTTTCAAAAATAGCTTTTTGCTTATTTCTTCAAAGTACGGCCAAAATAATTATCTTTGAGTAGAAGCCTCAAATTATTTATTATGCTTTCAAAATAATTTTACAAATAAGAAAATACAAATTAATAAGAGAGGACCTTGCATAGAAAAATGTGAGAATGTCATTAACCAAGGACTATGTTTAATCCAATTCTGGAGCTCCTGAGGCCCAATTTTTAAATAGGTTTTTTAAAACCACTTAGTCAATAAATAATTATTAAATACCTCCTATACGTCAGGAAGTGCCTAGAGATACAAAAAGATTTTTCAAATGTTTTCCTTCTCAGAAATACATATATGATGTAATTGCCTGTCAGTTCCCTCTCTGTTGAGACCATCACAAGGACTCTTAACCTGGGGTCCCAGGACCACAATGATTGTCTGCCAATCCCCTGAAACTGTGTGTAAATATCTTAAGGTTTATGCATTTGTGGTATTCGTCCAGCCATTAAAGAGATCCATGCCATCCAAAAGGTTGAGAACCTCCTCTCTAGTGTTTACAAGTTGCCTTTTTAAAAACATGTTAAATCTAACCTTAGAGTTTAGGGGGGTCTATCTGTAGAGCTTCACCTCATAATATGCCCAATCTCCCTAATTCTTGAGGAGCGATAGCCCGGTCTTAAACATCTTTGCATTTCCAGCACCAAAAGAAGCTCCGTTAAATAAATATTTTATGATGAAATTCGTCATCGAGTATTTACATTTGGTTGGCTGCCTTCCTCATCTGATGAGCCCAGAGTAAGCGGGGTCTAGGTCACTGTTGTCATCCCCTACATAGGTGATCCCAAAGGGTGTGGGGTGATGCCAAGGGGCGGCGACGAGGGCAATTCAACTGAAGCTTCCTGGACCTCTCTGGGAGTCAGACCCCAATCCTCAGATTCGCATGGCCCAGGGAAGAAATAAGGGCTGGCTGAAGAAAGGGGGAGGCCCCGAGCTGCTCAGCGAGTCTGCGATGAGGACCCGGGCAGTGCCTGGGGCTCGGTCACCCGCCCTCCCCCCGGGCCGAACGCAGACGGCGTGACGGCCACTCACTTGGTAAAAGCCTCTCCCAGGTCGATCACGACCGCCGTTTTCTCCCCGCCGCTCCCCAGGCCCTCGTAGAGCGGCATGGTGGTAATGAAGACTGGGAAAAGTGGGTCGCAGACTCCGCGGCCAACGAGCTTCGGCGATTGGGGGGCGGGGCCGGGGCTCAGGCGCTCGGGCGGCGGCGCCGGCGGGGGCCTTGCGCGGCCGCGGCGCACCAGGCCCGGGCTGTCCCAGGCTGTGCCTCATTCCTGGTTGAACCGAAACCCTTGCAGGTGGTCCCGTCTCCAGAACTAGCGGAAAAGAGGCGCTAGTGGCCGTGAATCCGAGTGTGGGGGTGCGGAGGCCGCTGCGATCAGGCGCGCCGGGCGCCCCGAGAAGGCGGAGCCGGCCTCCCGGTCCTTCCCGCCCACCACGCCCCCAAGCGGCACCCGAGAGCGGCTGTGAAGAGATTCTTCAGGACCTGGCTGCGCTGGGGCAGCTGAGAGACGACGGAAACCCAAAGCTGAGATTCATGCTCTCGAGGGGGCAAAACATGCTGAGCCCCTATTCTGTGCTAGGCATTTTACCTATCATTTCATCGTTTTTAAGAAATACCAAAAATAGGCCGGGCGCGGTGGCTCACGCCTGTAATTCCAGCACTTTGGAAGGCCGAGGCAGGCGGATCACCAGGTCAGAAGATCGAGACCATCTAGCCAACATGGTGAAACCCCGTCTCTGATAAAAATACAGAAATTAGCTGGGCGTGGTGGCGCGTGCCTATAATCCCAGCTACTCGGGAGACTGAGGCAGGAGAGTCTCCTGAACCCGGGAGGTGGAGGTTGCAATTAGCCGAGATCCGGGCTCTGCACTCCAGCGTGGTGACAGAGCGAGACTGCGTCTCAAAAACAAAAAAACAAGAGTAGTGTTTTCTTATCTGTCGGGACCGACGCTCAGAGAGATTCACATTCCCAGTGTCTACGGCAGAGCCAGGAACAGACCCACAGACTTCCTAATTGCAAAGCCTGTACTAATGATGTTTTAGAGAATAATACGTGCAGACATTGCTTTAGTTAGTAGTCATTCTGAAAGTTTTTATTTTACTCCAGAATTAAGCAGCTAAAGTAGCATCTATGAATCTTGAATCTCTTTGTGGAGGAGCGAGCAGTCAGGATGGTTTAACAGAAGGAACATCGAAGCAAAGGCCCCTGCCTATTAGGTTAGTGCAAAAGTAGTTGCTGTTTTTGCCATTACTTTTAACATTTACATTACTGTTTACATCTTTGTCACTTAACAGCTTTCTGTGAAAATATTTTTTCTGCAAATATTAGCTCTATCTGTGGAAGTGGAAAATATTGTCAAAGGAGAGACTGTATAATAAGAAAAGAGGTTCAAAGGTAGATTGCTGAGGAACAGCAACATTTAGCTGGTGTACTGTGTTGAATGATGTCCCCCCCAAAATGCCTGTCCGCTGGGAACCTCAGAATGTGACCTTATTTGGAAATAGAGTCTTTGCAGATGTAATCAAGTTAAGATGAGGTTATACTGTATTAAGATGGGCCCAACTGTCCGAGCGCAATGGCTCATACCTGTAATCCCAGCACTCTGGGAGGCAGAAGAGGGAGAACCCCTTGAGCCAGGAAGTCTAAGGCTGCAGAGAGTCAGGATTGTGCCGCTACTGCGGCACTCCAGGCTGGGCAACAGCAGAGTGAGAGCCTGTCTTTCAAAAAAAAAAAAAGGCTCTACTTAAATGGTTGGTAACAAGAATTAGTGTGGTGGTTGGGGATAAGCTATTTCCATAACAAAAACTAAGGCTGTAACAATGCAGAAATTTGGAATGTGATGTTAGTAAAATTTATGTTCAAGTCCAAATTACTGATCAATGATCCTTGAAAGCAAATTGCTGGAGGAGGAGGAAGTTGGAGTTGTGATGGGGAAGAAAACTTTAAGAAACGTGGGAAGAGATTAAAGTTTTCGCTGAATTCAGAGTATTTGAATAGGACCCCTCACTTGGGTTCATATTCTGTTTCTGCCACTTTCTGTCAAGTCCGTAATACCTCTGATCGTCCACTTCCTTATCTGTAAACTGTTCTGCTGCTTCACAAGGTATTTGTAAGGATCACTTTGAAATTATGTTTCTGAAACTATTGAAATGATAAAGTGTTGTTATTACCCATTCTGTATTTTCTGTGACAGCTCACCAGCTGTATTTGTTTCCCAGGGATTGCTGTAACAAAGTACTATAAACGGTGGTTTAAGGCAACACAAAATTTATTCTTTCACACCTCTGGAGGTGACAAGTCAGAAATCAAGGTGTCAGCAAGAGCAAGGTCATGCTCTCTTTGAAGGCTCTAGAGGAGGATCCTTTCTTGTCTTCTTTTTTTTTTTTGAGATGGAGTCTCGCTTTGTTGCCCAGGCTGGAGTGCAGTGGTGCCATCTTGGCTTACTGCAGCCTCTGCCTCCTGGGTTCAAGTGATTCTCCTGCCTCAGCCTCCAGAGCAGCTGGTATTACAGGTGCCCCCCACAATGCCCAGCTAATGTTGTTTTTTATTTTTTATTTTTAAAATTTTTAGTAGAGATGGGGTTTCACCATGTTGGCCAGGCTGGTCTCAAACTACAAACATCAGGTGATCCACCCCCCTCAGCCTCCCAAAGTGCTGGGTTTACAGGCGTGAGCCACAGTGCTTGGCCTTTTTTTTTTTTTTTTTTTAAATAGAGTCTTGCTCTGTCATCCAGGCTGGAGCCCAGTGGTGCAGTCCTGGCTCACTGCGCTCCAGACTGGGCTCAAGAGATTCTCCTGCCTCACCCTCCCAAGTAGCTGTGACTGCAGGCATGTGCCACCTCGCCTGACTAATTTTTGTATTTTTTGTAAAGACGGGTTTTACCATGTTGCCCAGGCTGGTCTTGAACTACTGAACTCCGGTGATCTGTGAGCCTTGGCCTCCCAAAGTGCTGGGATTACAGGTGTGAGCCACAGTGCCTGGCCTTCTTGCCTTTTTCTAGCTTCTGGTGGTTGCAGGCAATCCTTAATGCTCCTTTGCTTTTAGATACATCACGGCAGTCTCTGCCTCTGTTGTCACCTGGCCTTCTTCCCTGTGTCTTTGCATTTTTTACATTATGTTCTCCTCCCTGTGTCTTCACTTCAGTTTCCTTCTGAGTGTGTCTCTATGTCCAGATTTCCCTCTTCTTTTTTCTTATTTTTTAAATCTGTATCTTACTGAACAAATTTCCCTCTTATTTTTGAGACGGGGTTTCACCATATTGGCCAGGATGGTTTCGAACGCCTAACCTCAGGTGATCTGCCCTCCTTGGCCTCTCAAAGTGCTGGGATTACAGGCGTGAGCCACTGTACTCAGCCTTGTTTTTTTTTTTTTTCTGAGACAGAGTTGTGCTCTTGTTGCCCAGGCTGGAGTGACTAATTTTTTGTATTTTTAGTAGAGACAGGGTTTCTCCATGTTGGTCAGGTTGGTCTCAAACTCCCACCCTCAGTTGATCCACCCGCCTGGGTCTCTCAAAGTGCTGGGATTACAGGCATGAGCCACCATGCCTGGCGTCAGGCTGGAGTGCAGTGGCACAATCACAGCTCACTTCAACTTCCACCTCCCTGGTTCAAGCAATTCTCCAGCCTCAGCCCCCTAAGTAACTGGGATTACAGACATGCACCACTATGGCTGGATAATTTTTTGTATTTTTAGTATAGACAGGGTTCACCATATTGGCCAGGCTAGTCTTGAACTCCTGACCTCAAGTGATCCATCCGCTTCTGCCTCTCAAAGTGCTAGGACTACAGGCCTGAGCCACCGCACCCAGCTTGTCTATTAATTCTATCACCTGTGCCCTTTCTGGGTCTATTTCTATGTTTTTCTCTTGCTATGAGACATATTTTCCTTCTTTTCTGCATGACTCTTAGGTTTTGGTTGGATGCCAGACAGTGTCAATTTTACATTGTCAAGATGCTGACTTTTTTTATTTCTTAGAATATTCTCAAGCTTTGTTCTAGAATGCAATCAAGTTACTCAAAAATAGTTTTATCCTTTTGGGGCTTGCTTTGGTAGGTGGGACCAGAACAGCCTTTAGGCCAGAGCCATTTTTTTTTCCCCATTAGTGAAGTAAGAGCCCTGTTTTAGTATCCTGCCTAATGCCCAGGTATTTATTACAGCATTTTCAGCTGTGGGGGGTGGGAACACAAACACTTCCCAGCTACATATGAACTTCAAGGAATTAATCTGCCTTTGCTTTTCTGGTGGGTGGGTGGGTGGGTGGGTGGGTGTGTGTGTGTGTGTGTGTGTGTGTGTGTGTGTTTTTTTTTCCTCCAGCCTTGAGTAGTTTCCTTACATGCATGTAGCTAAAAATTCAAGGATAACCCTGTGCAGATTGCCAGAGCTTTCTCTCTTTTTGTGCAGCTCTTTCCTCTTCCTGAAGCTTTGTCTCTTTGGCACTGTCCTCTGAGAATCCTACTGCCTTAGCCTTCCTGAATTTATGACTTTGTCCCTAGTGGGAGCAGTGTGGGTTTCCTCTCTCTGTGCTGTATTCTGGAACCCCCAGACAACAGGCTGAAGCAATCACAGGGCTTACCTTGCTTGTTTCCTTTGTGTCAGGGATCACTGTCTTGCATTGCCTCTTGATTCAGATCTGCAAAACATTGTTTCATATATATTATGTCCTGTTTTTTAGTTGTTTTCAGTGGTAGGGTAAACAGAGTCCCTGTTACTCTATCATGTCTTACAGCAGAAGTCCCTCCAGAAACTGATTTTAAAACCAACATTTTGTATAAATAATTGTGTCAGTTACCTATTGCTGCCTAACAAATGTTCCTAAAATTTAGTGGCTTAAAACAACCACCACTTATTTGCTCTTGATTTTGTGTTGATAATTTGGCTTGGCTATACAGGGTAGTTCTTACATTCTACAT